TTGTTAAAATAGGTAAAAAGTGCAAGCTAATATTTCCAGTAGTACCGCACAAGTGGCGGAAGTTTCAAAAATAGGAAACCTATAGGAGAGGTTGGTTGTTGTGAATCAGGGATGGCAGAGCGAAGCCACTGATGGAGCGAAAGGTGATTGATCTCTCTCACTATTTCTCTCTCTTTCTCTGACTATCTACCTACCTACCTATCTATCTATCTTTCTATCTATCTATCTATCTATCTATTTATCTATCTATCTCTCTCTCCTTCATCTGTCTAGCTGTCTACCTGTCTATCTGTGGTGCAGTGTCATTGAGTGTAATGTAGTGTAATGTAGTGTTGTGTAGCGGAGTGTAGTGGAATGTAGTGTAGTGTAGTGTAATGTAGTGTACTGTAATTTAGTGTAGTGTAATTTAGTGTAGTGGAGTGTAGTGGAGTGTAGTGGAGTGTAGTTGTGTAGTTGTGTAGTTGTAGTTGTAGTGTAGTGGGGTGTAGTGTAGTGTAATGTAGTGAAGTGTAGTGGAAGGTAGTGTAGTGTAGTGTAATGTAGTGTAGTGTAGTGGAGTGTAGTGTAGTGTAATGTAGTGAAGTGTAGTGTAATTTAGTGTGGTGGAGTGTAGTGGAGTGTAGTGTAGTTGTAGTTGTAGTTGTGGTTGTAGTGTAGTGGAGTGTAGTGTAGTGGAGTGTAGTGAAGTGTAGTGGAAGGTAGTGTAGTGTAGTGTAGTGTGTAATGTAGTGTAGTGTAGTGTAATATAGTGAAGTGTAGTGGAAGGTAGTGTAGTGTAGTGTAATGTAGTGTAGTGTAGTGTAAAGTAGTTTAGTGTAGTGTAATTTAGTGGAGTGGAGTGTAGTGGAGTGTAGTTGTGTAGTTGTAGTGTAGTGGAGTGTAGTGTAGTGGAGTGTAGTGAAGTGTAATTTAGTGTAGTGGAGTGTAGTGGAGTGTAGTTCTGTAGTTGTAGTTGTAGTTGTAGTTGTAGTGTAGTGGAGTGTAGTGTAATGTAGTGAAGTGTAGTGGAAGGTAGTGTAGTGTAGCGTAATGTAGTGGAGTGTAGTGTAGTGGAGTGTAGTGAAGTGTAATTTAGTGTAGTGGAGTGTAGTGGAGTGTAGTTGTGTAGTTGTAGTTGTAGTGTAGTGGAGTGTAGTGTAGTGGAGTGTAGTGGAGTGCAGCGTAGTGTAGTGGAGTGTAGTGTAATGTAGTGTAGTGAAGCGAAGCAAAGCGACATCTGAACCTCCAAAAGTGGTCCGAACCCCTAGTGCTTTTAACATTTTGACTTGGAAATGTGCTTCGCGCCACAACGGCGTGCACTTTTTCGGCATCTCAACTGCCAAAAGTGGTCCGCACCCCTAGTGCTTTGTACATTTTCACTTGGAAGTGTGTTTCGCGCCACAACGGCGTGCACTTTTTTCATCTTTCATCTGGCCAGCTGTAGCGAGCCTACTTTTCGACCCTCCGGAGCCACAAACCATTGGAAAAACACAGTGTTTCGCGACTTTCCTACCTTCACGCATCTGCATCTTCTTTCTTCTTCTTTCTTCTAATCTTTCTCTTCTCTCTGCCTCTTCCCTGCTCTGCTTTTCATCTGTCCATATTGTCGGAAGTTTGACTTCTAAACTTCCTTCGATAAACCATTACTCCCCAACAAGTACAATACCTTAAATAATCTTAAATCCGCCCACACCGCTTTGGCGGTGAAGGCGTGCTTATTGGGGGGCAAACAGCTACATTTGTTAATATAGCAGTCGCTATATCAGCTTTAGCTGGGGGGGGCCCAAAAACGGTTTCGCACCGAGACCAGAATACGGTGGTGTTTTCGACATTTTTCGAGGATTTTTGGGTGTCTGAGCGCAAGAGGGTATTGAAATGGAATTTTGGGTCATTTTGGTAGCTTGCCGGCAATGGAAAAACGGCCAAAAATGAAAAAAAACATTGTACATAGCAAGATTTTGCAGGGTTTTTGGATGCCAGAGCATTGAAAACACTGCAAAAACAAGTGTTTTGGACTGACGTTATAGCAAAAAACGTGTAAATTACTGTATGCTTGACTGGAAACATTACAAAAACACTGTCAAAAGAAATGTTTTGGAAGGATTTACTGCCTTTATGGCAAAAAACGTGTAAATTACCGTCTGTTTGACTGGAAACATTGGAAAAACACTGTCAAACACAATGTTTTGCAAGGATTTCTTATATATATATATATGTTGGAGTTGGCTACCGGCATTGGAACATGGAAAAATTGAAGAAAGCACTGTAAATAGCGGTATTTTCAACGGTTTGGGAGATAAGGGAATTGGAAGCATTGTCGAACATGATGTTTTCGACCGGTTTTATGGCGACAAAAGTGTAAAGTACCATGCTTTGAAGGAAACCACTGCAAAAACATGGAAACACATTCAAAGAACACGGGATTTGGGGGATTATCTCGGCGTCGTTGTCTAGCTATTTGAAATTCCGCAGCTTGGAGAGCCTCCAAGGGAGGGAAAAGTGAAAATTCCATAGCTTGGGAAGCTGTCACGGCGGGGAAAAGTGAAAATTCCCTAGCTTGGGAAGCTCCCACGGGGGGGAAAAGTGAAAATTCCCTAGCTTGGGGAGCCCCCACGGGGGGGAAAAGTGAAAATTCCCTAGCTTGGAGAGCCCCTGACGCGGGGGAAAAGTGAAAATTCCCTAGCTTGGGGAGCCCCCACGGGGGGGAAAATTGTAAAGATTCACGAACCCAGCAGTTATGTATGTCAATTCTCCTGTGCTGCTCTCCTCATATTCCACACCACCCTTAGCCCCTCTCACGGACCGAAATAAACCTGCGGTGTGGGCGGCCACCCCACGCGAAGCGGGGTGAATACTTACACACATGCCCAGTTAGTAGGCCCGGTGATAAATATGAATCAAGTAATAAAAAGTATCATTTAGGGTCTTTAGAGTTCGACAGTTGGCAATATACCCCTGGACCCTTCAACCGAATCGCT